AAACGCACCGAATCGAACCGAACCGAACCGAACTGGAGGCGCTTCGGAACCGAACCGAACCGAGCCGAACCAGCGCTTTCCTGGCCCTCGGTCGTTCGGCCCCTCGGCAGCCGCTCCCCTAGCTGGTTTTGGTTGTTTTCTGGTTGCCGTTGGTTGTCGGCCGTTTGCTCTGGTCGCGCGTGGTCCCTCGACTTGCCCTCGGACGCTCGGCCCGAGGCGTACAACCAAAACCAGCCAGGAGGCCGAGGGCCAGCCGAGGGCCAGACGCGGCCACAGCACCCGACGGACAACCGACCGACAAAAGAAAAATAACCAAAACCAGCCAGGAAGGGGCAGGCGAAACACCGAGCGACCGAGGGCCAGCCGAGGGCCAGGCGCGACCACAGCAACCGACGAACCGACGGACTACCGAAAAAAACAAAACCAGCCAGGAAGAGGCAGACGAGATACCGAGCGACCGAGGGCCAGCCGAGGGCCAGGCGCGAACGCAGAAACCCACGGACAACCGACGCACCACCGAAAAAATTAACCAAAACCAGCCAGGAAGGGGCAGACGAGAGACCGAGCGACCGAGTGCCAGCAGAGAACCAAGCGCGACCACAGCAACCGAACGACAACCGACGAACAACCGGAAAATAACCAGAACCAACCAGGATGGTGCAGACGAGAGACCGAGCGACCGAGGGCCAGCCGTGGGGCAGGCGTGACCACAGCAACCGACGGGCAACCGACGGACAACCAACAAGTAACCAAACCAGCCAGGAAGGGGCAGAAGAGAGACCCAGCGACCGAGGGCCATCAGGGGGCCAGGCGCGGCCACAGCATCCGACGGACAACCGACGCACAACCGAGAAATAACAAAAATCAGCCAGCAAGGGGCAGACGAAAAACCGAGCGACCGAGGGTCAGCCGAGGGCCCGGCGGGACCACAACAACCGACGGACAACCGACGGACAACCGAACAATGACCAAAACTAGCCGGGAAGCGGCAGACGAGATACCGAGCGACCGAGGGCCAGCCGAGGGCCAGGCACGACCACAGCAGCCGACGGACAACCGACGGACAACCGAAACATAACCAAAACCACCAGGAAGCGGCAGACGAGAGACAGAGCGACCGAGGGCCAGCCGAGGGCCAGGCGCGACCACAGCAACCGACGGACAACCGACAAATAACCAGAACCAGCCAGGAAGGGGCAGACGAAAAACCGATACCCGAGGGCCAGCCGAGGGCCAGGCACGACCACGGCAACCGACGGACAACCGAAAAAATGCCAAAAGCCAGCCAGGAAAGGGCAGACGAACAACCGAGCGACCGAGGGCCAGCCGATGGGCAGGCGCGATCACAGCAACCGACGGACGACGGACAACCGAAAAACAACCAGAACCAGCCAGGGAGGGGCAGACGAGCGTCCGAGGGCCAGTCGAGGGCCAGGCGCGACCACAGCAACCGACGAACCAACGGACAACCGAACAATAGCAACAACCAACCAAGAAAAGAGCAGGCGAGATACCGAGCGACCGAGGGCCAGGGGAGGGCCAGGCGCGACCACAGCAACCGACGGACAACCGACGGACAACCGAAAAATAACAAAAACCAGCCAGGAAGGGGCATTCGAGCTACCGAGCGACCGAAGGCTAGCCGAGGGGCAGGCGCGACCACAGCAACCGACGGACTACCGAAGAACAACCGAAAAAAACCTTACACCAGCCAGCAAAGGGCAGACGAGAGACCTAGCGACCGAGGGCCAGCCGAGGGCCAGGCGCGACCACGGCAACCGACGGACAACCGACGGACAACAGGAAAACAACCAAAAACAGCCAGGAAGGGGCAAACGAGAAACCATACGACCGAGGGACGACCGAAGAAACCGAACGACCGACGAGAAACCGAACAACCGCGCGACCACAGCGATCGACGGGCAACCGACGGACGACCGAACAATAACCAAAGCCAGCCAAGAAGGTGTAGACCAAAGACCGAGCGACCGAGGGCCAACCGAGGGCCAGACGCGGCCACAGCATCCGAAAAGGGGCAAGCGAGAGACCTAGCGACCGAGGGCCAGCCGACGGCCAGACGAGACCACCGCAACCGCTGGACAACCGACGGGCAAACGAAGAATACTCAGAACCAGCCAGTAATGGGCAGACAAGAGACCCAGCGACCGAGAGCCAGCCGAGAGCCAGGCGCGACCATGGCAACCGACGGACAACCGAAAAATAACCAAAGCCAGCCAGGAAGGGGCAGACGAGAGACCGAGCGACCGAGGGCCAGCCGGGGGCCAGGCGCGACCACAACAACCGACGGACAACTGAAGGACAACCGAAACATACCAAAACCAGCCAGGAAAAAGGCAGACCAGAGACCCAGCGACCAAGGGCCAGCCGAGAGCCATGCGCGACCAGAGCAACCTACGGACAATCGACGGACAACCGAAAAAAAACCAAAACCAGCCAGGAAGGGGCAGCCGACGACCAATGCAACCGACTGGCAAGCGAAAACAAGCCCGAACAACGAAAATCAGCCCGGAAGGGGCAACCAGAATGTATTGCGCGACCATGGGACACGACACCGAGCGCAAAGAAATTGCCAGCCCCTGAAATGCCCAAACACGCCGTGCCACAAGAAACCGGCAGAGGCAAAAACGAAAAACCAGCTTTCTTATTGACCGCCGTTGGTGTGCCAACAATCATCTGGGGAAGGGATGGCCAAACCCAAGAAGTAGATTTGGGTTGCGCGGGCCCACCAAACATATACAAACATATATTCTTGAAATAGAAAGGCGCTTAAAGTAGATTGGGATCTGGGAATCCAAAATTACATACTTTCAACGAGCGACCTGTAAGGGAGCGGCGACGCCCGTGCTCAGCAAAGCGCAGCCCCCTCCCATGCCATCTGGATGGCTCGTCCGAAGTGAGGCTGGAGAGCGCTAGTTCGACGCGACTCGACGCTGAATCGCCGCTACACTGGCGCAAACTATCTTCGCTTGCCATTCGTTAGTTGATGCTGCTGCACTTTGAAGACGGATTGCCAGGGTACTTGGGGCTCCCACGATGTGCTACCGAGGGAGTCGAGGAGAAAGAGGAAGATGCGGAAGGAGGGATCTCCGACCTTGGCACTTCGACAGCTCCGAGCTGTAGGCCCCCCGACTTGTCAACCCCAACCCCGGCTCGAAACCTGCTCGAATCCGCCGTGCCCCAGGACGACCCACCCAGGAACGCATCCTGGGCGAGGCCAGGTTCTTGTTGTGATTGTTGGTTTATTGTAGACGGCCCCAAAGACACCCAACACGGTCCAAGAGGGCTCCGAGCCGCGGAGAGGTCGGCCCAGAACGCTCACGAGGTGTCCGACACGTCCCATGAGGGCTCCAAAAGCACCCTCCAAGAATCCCCAAACGCAACAACCGTCCCATTCCTGTCGGAAACAGATTCCCCTCTTGGGCTTTCACAGCGTCCACAACGGCCCAACAGGCCGCCACAATCACCCCAAGATGGCCCGGGAGGACCCCAAGAGTGGGTACGCGAACCGACTGTTCGAAGTCTTCGCAGCAACAAAAACTCTGACGCCGCCAGCAAGCGCCCTACAGGCCCTGATGAGACCCAAAGAAGCCCCAAGATGATGCCCCAGAAACATCCTCACTGCCGCGCCAGCACGGCACCGTTGCGCCCCCTTCCCCCAGTGGCTCGATCCGAGTGAATCTCAAGGCACACTGCACCGATTCAACAGGGTCGACGGATGTGGCGCAAACCTGTAGAATAAATGAACCAGGCGCGACCCCAATTAGGGGAAAGCTTCCTATTGCATGGGCGCAGTGCTTGGCATTGCTCGGCATTGTTTGGCATTGTTTGGCATTGCCTGGCAATGCCTGGCATTGCTTGGCATTGTTTGGCATGAAACACCGGGGGCGGGGAACCTGGGGAACCCGGGGAACCCCGGGGAACGGGCAACGTTTCAAGGAGGCAGCGGGGGCGGGGAACCCGAGGAACCAAAGTAACAATAGGAGGCACCAACCTTTAACCAAACAAGCGCCCCTGAGGCAAGCCAAATAAGGGAAAAAGGGGGCAGGGTAATTACACGCAAAGGCCACAAGAGAATTCTCTGGATGATCTCCCTGTTGAGGGAGGCCGAGCGCGCATTGCATGGGTCCCTTTTTTCGAAGATACTTGGTGAGGTGAAGCGAACTGGGAGGGACTGGCTCAGGGGGGGGACGCATTGAACTGTGATCGGCGATAAGCGATGGGCTCTGATGAGCGAAACCGCACGTGCGTGGGCGTTGTGGGCTGTCATGCCCCCATCGAAGATGAGTGCACTGGTGGGGGTCGATGCATTCGCCCTTGAACCTATCCGTCCCGCCCATTGTCAGCCCTGAAATGAGACACAGGGGGCGGCATGCGACGGCCTTGGTTTGTGGCTCTGGCGGGGCTGCCTGTGAGACAAGATATCTTGCAATGTGTTCCGATATCTGCAACTGGAAAGAAGGCGACACCGAATTTGGCAACCATGCGTCAAGGCCCTGGCGGGGCCCAACAAGGGCGAGAAATGAACGAACAGCGTTGAAGTCATCGCAAGCGGAGGATCAGATGGTGAATGCGACGTCCTCTATTCACAGATCTGATGGGCCTCACGATGGGGGAGTGAAACAACAAACTACCGAAATCCTGTAACGCCATCTCGTGATCCATGAACGCGGGGTGATGGTGCCTGGCGCATCCAAGCAGTCATCGGTTTTGGAATGCGCCTAAAACTGATCGCACCCCCATTCGTAGCCGAACGGGCCTGCCAAGCGTGAGCCAAACTGTGATGTGAAATTTCGCTGGTTAAGGTAGCCTCGTCGGCAAAACGAGGGCAACTATGTTTTACGCCTCGACGGAATGATGCTTCCTGCCCGGTCGATGGAAAACGCTCGGTGGGGGGAACGCGTGCTCGAAATGCGGGGCACAGCCCAGAGCCTAGTTTTGGGGGCGCGGTGCGTGTGACGGACTTTGCATATGGCCGTGTCCTTGAGCAGGTAGAACCACTTGTTGGGACAAGCTTCGCCGATGAGCTGCAGCTTGTTCTGAGCGCGCGGCTCCTCCCAGAGGTCGGCGGAGAACTTCCCAGGGGCTGGTGGTGCACTCGGCCTGTCCCTGTCGTCCTTGCCCCCAGCTTTGCCCTTGCTCTTGCTGTCATCCTTGCCACCGTCTTTGCCCTTGCCCTTGCCACCGTCGTCTTTGGCCACGGTGCTATCCCTGGTCTTGCCACACTTGAAGCACGCATCCTGTTCAAGCATACACACAACAATAGGTGCCGCAATCGAGCGCTACAAAGTGCGGCTGCGTGCAAGCGCGCGATTGCGAATGCGAATGCGCGTGCAAACGCAAACTGTGCCGAAGCTCAGTGTGCTGTCCACGTGCGATGTGCGCCCGCGCCCCTCACCCCTGGGCCTCAGCCAAGGCTTGCGGGGGACGACGGGACCCGTGAAGATGGGCTTGCCATTCCAGGTCCAGGGCGCCGTGTGCGCCAGCCCCCAGCTGGACCCCCCCGACTGAGGCTCCCACGAGGGGCCGAAGCACGGACAGAGGTGAGCACTTCTGAACCTACTGGCCTGCGGGCGGGAGGCCACCGCCTCGGAAAGTGGGTCTAACAGAAGCAGCGCAGCCTGGAGCCAGTTGCCAACGAACAGAACGTATCTGCGCACACTATCACACACACAAACGCGTGCACATCATTGTACGAGTTGGCGAACATGCGCGCACTTTTAGCATGCAGCCGCGTGTCAGTTCATGCGCGCGTAATTGTTCATATTCCCGCCTCAAGAATTCCCAATGCCCAGACGAGAATAACAAAGCTTCGGATGTCCGCACCGATTTCTCGGAGCGGCGCCGGAGGCGCCAACAAGTGGGCCCAACCCAGATCCAAGAAATCCGCGCGGAACTTCGACAATATATATAGTTATGCCGTTCTTGGTTCTTTTATGAACTCCCAACGGCCAAAGTGTTCGAGTTGTCAGCCTTTAGATCATTCGACCGAGCTTCTTCGGGAGAGCTCGGTATCATCACCTGGCCATGACAGCCCGAGACGCCTGCCATGCCCCAAAAAAGCCCGAATGAGTATCGAAGAGGAAGGAAGGGGGGTAAGATAAGAAAAACAACGAGCAATTCACGACAGACACGGCGAGATACAAACAACACACATTACCTCTCCTTCTCCTCCTCCTTCTCGGCCTGATCTGCCTCCACGGGGAGGAAGAATGGGGAGGAATGATGACCGATGGGGCATGTAGAGGAAGAGAACGAGGTTGAAGTACTGTAATGCTGGAGGTGGTTGAAACTCCCGCCAGTGCAAACATTGCGCCGAACTGCAGCTGGTCTTGAACTCAAACTCCTCCTTTCTGCGCTGCTGCGCTGACACTGTGGCGGTGTCGCTGCAAGTAATCAGATAGCTTGTAAGCACTTTCTCACTCATGTGCGCGGCACCAGGGCAAGAACACGGCTTTGGAAAGGATCCGCCCTCCGTCCACGTATCCGTTACGCTGGACTTGTCTATGTTCAAAATAACCATGCGTGAGGAAGTCCAACATGACAACGAGGCGCTCGAAAAGAGCAACACTATATCTGCGTATTTGTTTGAAGTTTTGCCTCCTATATATCACAATCTGAATTCGACAACGCGACGGCGTCACTCGGTGCAACTGTGAAGCGTTCCAAACGTCAAGGTGCTACACTCGGGCGAAACACAAACCCAATATTTGGAAAGCTAGCGTCATTAATCCGTGTAGCTCTTTTTTGGGGAAATCACGCATCAATACCACAAGCTGGCACGATCGATCACGAGCCTCCCTCCACCCGCATAGTTGGTGGAACAGGTCCCATCACTGCCATTTACTGCGGGGACGTACCATGTTAGAGCCACACGATTGACATGCTCTGCCTCCGTACTTGAACGTGGGGGTCAGTTTTTTCAAACTTTGATGGTTTCGATGGTGGGGCGGTCTGGAGCTAAACGCCCAAACTCGCATAACGACGCGCCTGTTGATGCGATGACATTCGCTCTATGGCACAATGCCGCCAAACTGACTGTACATGAAAGGGTCTGAGCCTGTTGGAACGTGGGGAAAAGCTGTGGTAACTGTTGAGTAGAGGTCATTGTGGCCGTGGTTGCGTCCTTTGACGAATCCTTGCTGCACTAGGTGGGTTCTCTCGACCACGCATTGTTGCAATTGTCAGTTGAGCGTTGAAGCGAGCAATGTGCTGTCCGCATTTTTAAGCGACAGTGGGCGGAGGGTTCCTGGCTCTCTGACGCGATCGATTACATCTCGAGCTTCCCCCCTTTTGCTATAAACGCGGCCAGACTGTGATTCAGATCAGGCGGTGGTGGGCGGCTGCCCATGAGGTGGAGAAGGAGGCGATGCAAGACGAGGGCAGGCAGGAGGAGTGGCCTTTCCACGCAGCATGTGGGAGTCTGTCTGGGCCAGGGGCAGAGTCTCTAGAGCGGCTAAGACAGTTTCGCATTTTTTCCAAGGGCGGAGGATGGAAAGCAGAAGGGGGAAGAAGAGGAATGCGCTGGTCCAGGAAGGCCGGAATTTCCCTCTCGGGCCTTGGCGCCTCAGAGAAAATTGTTCCCGAAGCGCCTCGGCGATGGGGGTTGGGCCTTGGACCGCCTCGTCTGTCTGGTTGCCTGTCTGATAGACTCTAACCCCATTCAGCACCAGGCGGCGCTGACGAGGGCGCCAGAGGGGGGCGCGGCGGAGCGACGTAGTCTGAGCCTTGCCCCAGTGCTGAACCTCCTGGGGATTGGGGCGCATCCCCACGGAAGCTCTCTTTTGTTCAGCAACACTCTCTTGCCTACAATGAGAAGATATTTCTGCCGGTGATCAGATGATTCCTGGCTGCGAGCTGCCGTTAAAAGCTCTTGGCGCCATATCGCGCGAGCAATAGAGCGAAGGGCCATGCGTCTAGCCTCAAGATTGTCATCGCCGATAACCCCCTTGGGGTATTTCAAAAACTCTCTACGGGTGACTGTCGCGGCTGCAATCATATTTTCTTTGGGAAAGGACCGAGCCTCAAGAGGGGGGGGCGATAATCTAGATCGCAGCCGGCCAGACAGCTGCTCAAAACTTCTGAACAAACTGCGATGCTTAAAGATGAACGATGGAATTCTCGGTTGTCCATTGGGAGTGGCTGCGCGTGGCTTCAGGGTGAGACGAATTATCGCATGGTCGCTAATGTGGCTACCATCAACCTCTGGGGTCTCCTGAATAATGTCAAGCGTCGTTTCAGTTTCGAGGAGGAAGTGGGGGAAGAGAGAGACGAAGACCCGATCGATCGAGGAAAGCGAGGAGGTGGAGCGAGAGAACTGAGTGGGGAGATCTGTCAAAACCTCGGTCATCTGACCGTTGAAGAAGCTTCGCCAAAAGGCCTCATGGTGGTCAGCGCGACCTGCCCGGGAAAAACGGGCCTGCCTCGGCTCAGGATACAGCGGCGAGTCTTTCGGGTTGTCAGACACGTTGAAGTCGCCGATCGCCACTGCCAGTCTGTGTGCTTCGTCTTCGCAACCCCAATTGGCTTCTTCGGTGTCATGCGCTCCCCTGGCTTCAGCTCATAGTTGTGTGCGTCGATGATCCTGATCTCCGTGCCGCTGACTGGGTTGGAGATAGCGACCGATAGAGCCCGTGCCGTAGCCAATCTCGGCGAAACAATATTTGGCCATGGGTGCCGCGGAAGCCGGTTGAGAATGCTTTCCGAATGCCGCGGGGTCAATATAGCAACTCCTCCTTTGCCAGGGGAGTCGCTCATGGTGGTGTAGATCTTGACATCGATGGGATATGGGCGAATAAGGTTCTCGAGCGTCTCGTGGGTGCCATGAACCTCTTGCAGACATACAATAGCACCTCGACTCAAGTGTTCAACAACTTTGGCTAGTTTCATGCGTGTCCTCCGACGATCGCGGCACAGCAGGGCAACATCATTCCATGAGACGATCTGGAGCCCCTGCCCACCAAGCTCTAGATCCGACGGGCGCCACTTTCCGTCAGGAACATGACCATGAAGACGTACCCACTTCTCTGAAGAGCTGGTGGAACGCCTGGCTGATCTGCTCCTTGTTGATATTGCACTGCAAATTCGCCACGGGGCTTCATGCAAGCTTTGAAGGGTCATTGGGCGCAGCACCAGGTATGACCTCCACCAGGGGGAGGTCGCCACAGTATACCAATCCAAGCTGACGTTCTGACCACCGTTCTGCATTTGGTGGGGCTCGCTGAAGTAACTGCTGTAGCTTCTTAGTTTGAACTTCGCGCCGTATCTGCTTTTGATTGCGATCTGGTCCAACGTATATGTTTGTTTCGTAGCCATTGGCTCCGGTTGTACCGAACTTTCTCCACTTGCCTGTCGGATCATGTTGTGCACGAGCGAGAGCTTGTGCACGGATGGTCCCAGCTTCTCCACCAGGGCAGTGTACTGCAAACCTTCTTCCTGGTGGTTCTGGGCCAATGATCTCAATCTGTTCTTTCTTGATCTTTGCATGGTCGAGCCATTCCGCCAGGCCTTCGAGCAGATCTTTCTTGGTGACCTCCGTCTGTGTGTTGATACTGAAGAGGCGTGGGCTCGTCTCGCGATCTCATGTGGCAAGCCTGGCAACATCGATGCCCTCCGATGATGCGGCCGACTCCGCGATAGCCATCGACTGTTGCATTCGATGAACCTCACGGCGAAAATTCTTCTGCTCTTCTTCGAGTGCGCTGGCGCGATCCTGAATACCACGCGTGTCTGACTCAACCGTAGTAATCCTTGCAACTGTGGGCGCCAGATGTGTCTGTACTGAATTTGCAATGTCGTGCTGGATGTTTGCCATAGCGCTGCCCACTTCAACGCTGATGAAATTCTGAAGTTCCCCTTGAGTATGCGCGAACTGAATACTGATGGCCGATGTAATACGTTGTTCCGGCGAGCTGTCCTGTGGAGCAGATCCAATCGGTGTTGACTGAGCGAGGAGACCTGCCATCGTCGTATTTGCTTGGGGTGCAGCAGTGGCCGCGCGTCCTCTAGCCGGGTCTTCCAGAGGGGGTTTAACTCCTGCCAAGCGAGTCCTCATATTGGCCACCGCGATGCCATGGGTCACGGTGGCGTACTGAATCAGGCCCCCGCTCCTGTGTCGGGAATGTGTTTGGTGTCCACTCAGCATCGCCGTCTTCGCCAGCAGTGGGAACATGCGTCCTATTAGCAGCACGGCGATCACCTCGATCATCATTGCGACTGCGACGACCAGGATCTGGTGAGTGCGAGGGCCTCCCGCCATCTCCGCGCGGCTGCGCAGGCATGCCAGAGTGCGTCCGCGTGCGGGTGCCCAACTCCCGTAGTGAAAGCCGAAAGTTGCTCACCCGTCTGCGAGGGTCGCAACTCCTGCTGAGGAAAATCAGCAGGCACAAAGCAACTGAGGACTGGCCGCGGACTAGCGGTATCCGTTTCGCCTGGAGGCTGGACAGCCCCCCAGTGAGCATCTTGAGCAAACATGGCTACGGAGGAGGAGCAGTAGGAGGAGCAGCAGGAGGGAGAGGAGGAATACCCACATGAGGAGGCACATGAAGAGGGTACCAATAACTCCGAAACGTGGTTCTCGCACCGTGGTCGCGCGATTGCCGCCGCCTCCTCCTCTTCCGCCTCCTCCCCCTCCTCCTCCTTCCGCTCCTGTTCCTGCTTCTGTCACAGTCGCGCCCTTGCGGAAATTCTCACCCCTTTGACAGTAGGCGCAACGAATGGTTTCTTCGATTACATGTACAGACGGCAACGATGTTATCCTTCTTTGGCCACATGGCTGCCTCACCAGGCCGCTTCCAGGAACCAGGAGCACGCTAACGTTGCTCTCGACTGGGAGGTCAATTTGCGCTGGCGTCCGCCAACCTTGCGCTGGCGAGGCCACCGATGTTTTACCCACCCTTCGGAGCAAGTGGGTAGACACATGGAATAGGAAGGCCTTAGGAGTACAGTAACTAGATTGGGTGTCCGTGCGCCCCCTGAAGAGGAGCGAAAAGGGAACACACCACCCAACACTTGAAAGAAGAAGGCGCCTGAAACGTATCATAGTATGGGAATCCAAAAACGCCTACTCCCAACGACACGTGTATACGGAATTCAGCCACCAATGTGTACCTCTGCTACAATGTCCGCTGGCCTCGTCCGCATCGACGACAAGGCTCTCCTTCTGACTGGGGCCCCGACCCGTGACCTCGGGGCTCGGGCCCTTCCACCCGAAGGCACCGATGCCGCAGCCAGAGCCGCGGTCGCCGTCGCCGCCGTTGACGCTGCCGCCGCCGCCGTTGTCGTTGTCGCTGACGCCACCGTCGCCGTCGCCGTCGCCGTCGCCGCCGCCGCCGCCGCCGTCGTCGCCGCCGTCTTCGTCGTCGTCGTCGTCGTCGTCGTTGTCACTGTCGTCGTCGTCGATGTCGACGTCGTGATCGTCGTCGCCGCGGCCGGGTCCTTCCAGCCGAAGGTGCTGGTGCCACAGCCGGGGCAGTCCCAGTCGGACCGCTTTCCCTTCTTGCCTTTGCCCTGCCCCTTCGTGGACGCGTCCGCGGTCGAGGGCTGACCGTCCTGGGCCGTCTTGTTTGTTTGTTTGTTTTTGTATGTTTGCTTGCTTGTTTGCTGTGCAATTTTATTTTTTTTGTGTACCGCCCTCTCTCGACCTCTCTCTCTCTCTCTCGCTTTCGCGCTCTTTCTCTCTCTCTCTCTCTTTCGTCTCGCTCTCGCTCCCGTTCTCTTTCTCTCTCGCTTCCTTCCTCTCAATCTCTCTCTCTCTCTCTCTCTCTCTTTCTGTCTCCTTCTTCCTTCCTCCTCCCACGGCCCCCAGAGGCCTCTGGAGGTGTCCAGAGGTCATAGGAGGCCTTTGTAGGCGTCCTGAAGCACCCCCCAAACAGGCTCCAAACGCCCAGAAGCTCGATCCACGAGCCTGGAACCTCGAATCTCTGACGAGCTCGTCTTCCCTTCCCTCGCCTTCACCCTCTGTCTCTCCTCCTCGTTTTTCCCCTTCTCCTCTCTCCCCCCTTGTAAGCTGATGAAGGGGGAGCATTCTAAGGGGACGGCTCGGGGGGCAACACCGAGCCACAATCGGCGATGCATCGCCAGAAAATCTGCGATTTGCGCCCGGTTGCGGATCCGCACGTTCCTGGGTGGGCTGGGCTATTGGGCCCCTATCGGGTTCCCACGAATCCCCGATCCCACCTCTTCCCGGTCGGCTTTCTCTTCCTCCCGCCTCCACTAGCGCGCGCTGCCCCCGCGCGCGCGACGAGGGGGCGGAAAAGCAGAAAAAAGATGTAGGATAAGGAGGAGAACTGAGGAGAAACAGGAGGCCAGAGGATGGAGGAGGGACGACGGAAGAGGAGGAAGAGGAGGGGGGAACGAGAGAACGAGGACGGATGGGATCGAATCGGACGTCCGCGAATGAAGTGCCAAGCTTATTCAGCCAGGTGGGCGCCGAGCCCGTGTGTGTCCGACGGTCTAAACAGAGAGGGGAGACAGAGGGTGAGAAAGGAGGGGGAGGAGGAGGGAGGAGGGGGGGCAACAGCAGTATCAATGACACGCCGTCGCTGGGAACCCATCAGCGTGATTCTGCTGAAGCAACACCAAGTATTCGGACAACAGCAACAGAGTGCCACGCTGACGGGTTCCCAGCGGCGGCGTGCCATTGCTACTCCTTCCCTTCCGAAGGAGGGACGGCGACGAGGACGGAGGAGAAGGAATGAAGCGAAGGCGGAAAAGGGGGCAGGCGGCGGCGGGATCACCAGGAACACGATTCAAACTGTGCAGCATTCGAAACAAGTTACTCACGTTCCTCGAAGGCGCAACGGTGGCGGTCTTAGCACGAGAAAAGGGTTCCAACGTCCCTCGGCGCCCAAAACGGAAACATCCCTTGGGCCAGAGACGCCCACTACTCCACATAACTGTTGGGCCGGTAAAATATCGCAGGCAGGCTTTTTTCAGGGAGCAGGCAGATCTGACAAACAAAACTAAAAGTTTACTGGAAACGCCCTCGACACCCCCCAATGTTTGTCGTTAGATCTGCTAGCGTATCCAGCGGCGCGATAAACTTCGCGCCAGCGGCGGCGGCAGCTCCGCAACAACACCAACAGTCTTGCGGCGGCAGAGTGCGCCCAGACCAGGCCAGGAGAGCCGACCCCATGACCAGGGGCAGCGGGGCATGGGAGAGAGACGGGCCCAGGGCCCGAAGATGCAAGGACCAAGGAAGCAGACCCAGGAAGGGAATAAAGTTCCGAGGCGCCATTGCGGGGGCAGTCGATGGCGGGCTCCGGTAAGTCTCAGGATGCTGGCATTGAATGGGGCGGGGGAGGCGATGCGAGGAGCCGGAGGCCTCGAAGCGAGCGAGGGGAGGGGAGGTGAGGGGGTTCCCGTCCTAAACGTCTGGGAACGGGGCCCAGAAATATTATTGTTTGCGTTCATACTGAGGCAGCTGGGACGCGGGGCGCCTGAAATTGCAAGCACACAGGGCTCAGCTGCTTCACGAGTGGCCATCATCGAGGACGGGATCCGCGGCGTTGCCAATCCTCAAGCTCCCCTGGTGGAAATCGGGTCCGAGGTCGGTTTTGCTCTCGAACTCGCGGGTGCCACCGCTTTCCTCGTCTCTACAGCCCCTCTGCGCTGTCCAACGCCAGTTGCGCGGGCCTCTCGAAATGTGACTTGGCGTGCGTGGGGCCTCTTGAGCTCCGCGCCTAATTGCAGCGAGGAGCCGATCAACGATGCCTGCGCTCCTCTCCTTCGCCTCGAGGTGGCTCTTCATCATCTGGCGATTGTGCGTGTATGCCGCTCTGCAGTGCCGGACATCATCGCATAGTTTCTCGTTCGTGTAGCTGTCATCTTCCTTGATCTGGTTGAGGTGCGTCTTGAGAGCCCGATGGTTGCCCTGTCCGCGCCCGGCTTCTACTTGCACCGCGGCCGCTAGCGCGGCCAACCACGTGTTGGCGTGGAACGCCGGGCCTGTCTAGCTCGGGCACGGACTCTTTCTCCTTGGTCGCGTTGCGTCGTCGCGGTCCTTCATCAACCTCTGAGCTTCTTGCGCGAAGTAGCGGCCTGTCAACTGCGTTGCCTGCGCGACTGCATGCTTCGCTGAGATGTGGATCTGGCGGTGCGCCGCTGCTTGCAGGGCGTCGATTGCTTGCGAGCTATTGAGGGGCGGCCGAGAGATGACTGGAGACAGGGCCTGGATCAATGGCATCAGGATTGCCTGGCTCTGCGGGCGCGTGATGTTCGATCTCTGCCGCCCGAGTGCCACGTCGGCTTCCTCGAAGTACCCCGCCAGCCCCACCGCTGTCGCCTCCTCCCCATTCGCCTGGCGACTGGGCTGCTGAGGCTGCGGTGGCTGACCTCCTCTTGCGATCTTTGCGGCGACCTGCTGGCGTATTTCGTTCCCCTGCGCCGCGCGCTGTTCGCTACGCCCAGCCCTGTTCTGTCGCTCCCCCACCCCCCTCCGCTCTCCGCTGCCGGAGCGAAGCGCCGCGTTGCCAGACGGTGCGCGCCTTGCCGGGCCCATCGCCCTCGAAGTTTCGACAACAATAGGCCGCGTCGGGGGCTGGTTGAGGGGCGTGTGCGTGGCGCATGTGTAACTGGAACTCAAATAGGGTAGCGAATGGTCCCGTGTGCCTCGAGCCCCCTGGCACGCCGCCCACGAAACGAGGCGTGGCAGCGTCCGAGTCTGCGCAAGTCTGGCAATGGATGTGTATGGGCACTGCTACTTCTGGAACGTGCGGGTTGTGACGATGCCCTTGAAGGTGCTCATGCAGGTGTGGGCATTGGCTCGCGATGTTGAGCTGGCGTGAATAAATCCCCATCCGATGTGTCTGATGATGATGCCGATGTCCTCTGGATGTCCTCTTGCATTAGAAGGCCATGCAACGCCTCCCGTCTCCCCCATCATCTGGTCGGTCGCACGCGTACTCCTGCAGGGGGTCCCCTGGGGGTAAATTGTGGGGTCGCCGTGTCTGCGTGAGCTTCTGATCTCTGAAAATTTCCTGAGCCTGGGAAAGATCGAGCCGGCAGCAAGCGCGTCCGATCTCTGGGGCCGTGAAGCTGTCCCGCGCAGAGCGAGATAAGCTCTTCGCCTCCACGAAGGGACCGCAGCGCGAACACACCTTTCTCATTCTGGACCGCATATGTTTTGGCGGTACTCGCGATGTGCCCATCTTCTGTGATCGTGGCGTCCTCGTCCAGTAGTTGCAACTGTCGTGATCTTCGCACCAGCAACTCCCTTCGTGCATCGGTTATCCTGAGTCGCGCCATGCCCTGGTTCTCGGACGTCGACTTATACCTGGGATGTGTGCTTGCATGGGCCTCTGCATCACATTCAGGTTGTCGATCTCTCAGAACCTTCATGGACAATCCCGTGATTGCGGCGGCTAGTCTACGGTAGACCTGTTTAGTCGGTAGGCAGGTTTCCAGGCCCGAGTAGGCCGCGCTCACGATCGTCCCCATGAAATCCATTCCTCTCGTTCTGATCGAATGTACCACCTCCCACAGTCTTCCCAACCTTACCCGAGCCGTCCTTGTAGCCTCCATCCTCCTCTTAATCTTAGCCCACATCCCGCAGTCAACTGTTCCATTCCTCCAAGGTGTACCACCTGCGCGAGACAACTCCAGGTAGCTATAGCGCTTTAGTGGCAATATGCGCTCCTGGTCCTACCGTCACAAGCAGGCAGTTCTCCTTGCCCGTACTCTGTGCATGCTCTCCTCCACTCTCCAACTGCTCATCAAGGATCGCGTTGGAGGCCTGTGTTTATTGCCTGGGTTCCAGCGGGTTGGGCTGAGACAGTGGTTAAGTATGGTGAGTGTCGCCAGCATGGTCCCTGATACAAGCGTCGTGCACGATATCTGCGACGGCGATGGTCATGATGCTGGCCACTCTCCTGGGCAACGCGCTTCCTGGAATCCGACCGGAATGAAACAGCGTGGGATCTTCCAGCAGCCTATCTCGCCAGCGCCCCACCAGCCGAAGAGAGCTGCAAACGAATAGCGCACACACATTCCAATCCCCCATCCCATATTCACGCGTGAGATGATAGTATCCTGACGCTCTCCCGCCCTGATTTTCATTACAGCCTCAATGCGACACTGATGTAAGAAAACCGTCCACTTGGGGTGCTCCACAACCTCCGTGACCGTGCGAGCGTTCTCGCCGTGCGACGCGGAAAGGGGAGCATTCGATATTTTTTAGCAACAGGTTCGGGCCTCCGAATTTAGACGCCGCCAATGCATTTTTGGAACCATCTGAGCGTTTTGCCGACATCGATGCACAGCGTATCCGTGAGCGTGCAGTGGACAGGGCTCTCGACAACTCCGAAGAAACTTACTTCGATAGCATGCCGTACCGAAGGGGCAGTAGCAGTGGATGAGACGCATGGCCTCCGTGCCACTGTTAAGGTTCCCCTTGGAGAGCTGGGCGGTCCTGCTCTGGTGCCGCTGATCTGGCGTGCGCATCTTGGCACGGAAATGGCGGAACACACCCCAAAAGCGCTCGGTACTGCGACACGTAAACGTTTCTGGGCCCGCAGAACTTCACTTTCGCTCATGTGATTCACGTGTGGCCACTCCGCCTTCGTTTCTCGAGTCGCGTGCTGCAGTAGCCAGTGCCACAGCTCGGCGGGGACTGAGTGCTCTGGCGCAAACTTCCTTCTTTTTTTCCCTCCGCGGCCCCAAAGGTCTCGACACTTCTCCCCGGACCGCGGCCTTCTTCAGCTGCGACAGAGTGCTAAGCCAGTGGTGCTGGGGCCCCGTCGTAGTGCTCGATCCCCTCATCAGCCAATCTGTCGAGTTCGCGTCGTGCAATGTCCGATGGAGCCTGAAATACGATTGCACTGAACCATCAATCTGTCGCCGACACCATCATGGTCTCCTCCCACTCCGTCAAGCTCGGCAGGTACGTGTCAGGAACGTTGAAAGAGCGCTGCCTCGGGCCTCTACGTCTCTGCCCGACAGCGTAGACTGTCGGGGGAGCAGGAGGAGGATGGATGGGGGATGGCCCAGACTCCGACGTTTTGATTTTCTCAATACGACGTCCCTGGAAGTCCCGACCATTCTTCCAGGGCTGGTTTTCTATCCCGAGTCGATTCCTGCTGGTCCTGGCGCCCGGCGAATGCCCACAAAGTCCCGAAACGACCAGAATCCTTCCGTCGTGATCTTATCACCTCGCGAGCATGATTGGGGAGGGAGCTCAGACCCCTCCGCACCCTCCAGGGCGGCCCCCGCAGGCCTCGCTCTCGCGCCAGTTGCGGTCCGACGACCAGCCGCCGCCCTCGCCCTGCCAGTCCCTCCAAGAACCGCCGTCGGACCATCCGCGCGAGCCGCTCCTGGGGGCGCAGCCGTCGCCGCCGGCGCCGCCGTCGTCGCCGTCGTCGTCGCCGTCGTCGTCCCCGTCACAACCGTCGTCGTCGCAGCCGTCGCCGCCGTGTCTGCACCCTGAGACCCTGGCGTTGCAATTTTTTACGCGTCGTTTTTGGGTGGTTTCGGGCCCCAGGACACAAATCGATCTGGCTCGATAAATGCAGCAGAAAGATTGGGTCTGGGGCTCTGGTCGTGTTCCTTTACGATGTTGTATTTCATCGTGACGTCGGATCTCAAGATTGTCGTTGCCGTTGCCGCCGTCATCGTCGTCGTCGTCGTCGTCGCGCCACCCCGGAGCTGTGAACCCACATTTTTTTCTCCGACGCTGTGGTGGTTACAGACACCGGGTAAGCAGTGATGAAATACCACGCGGTCGCACACGCGCGCGGGCAACGCGTAAATTTCCCACGAGGCGTGGAAGCGCTGTCGCCAGCTGCCGCTGCCGTCGCCGCCGCCGCGACGCCGCCGCCGTCGACGTCACTGCCGTTGCTCCTGTCTTCGCCGTTGAACTGTTCGACGCAACCCTACTGTCGTCACCGCCGCTTCCACCGCCGCTGCCGCCGCTGCTGCCGCCGCTGCTGCTGCTGCTGCTGCTGCTGCTGCTGCTGTCGTCGCAGCTGCTGACGCCGCAGCCGCCACTGCTACCGCCGCTGCCCGCGCCGCCGCGCCGCCGCCGCAGCCGGGTCGCCGCTGTCGCCGCGCCGTCGCTGGGCCGCCGGGCCGCTGCCGCCGCGGACCGCCGTTGGACGCCGCCGCGCTTCGGCCGTCGGCGCCGAGGGCCCCCAAGCGGGAGGCTCCAGCCGTCGTCTGGCCTCGCGGGCGCACCGGGCTGCGGCCTCGCGGCCGCCAGCGTGGCGTTCGGGTCTTGGCTGCCTCGCGGGCGTCGCGGCGGCGGGCGAAGAGGGGGGGTAGGGGAGAGGGGAACGGAGGAAAACGAGAAGAGGAGGGGGGGAAAAGGAAGGAATGGGAGGAGGGATGGGGAGGAGAGCGGGGGATTTCAGGAGGAGGATGGTAGAGCGACGGGTGAGGAGAAGGAGCGGGAGGAGGAGACAAGCGCAGGGGAGGAGGAGGAGGAGGAGGAGGAGGAGGAGGAGGAGGAGGAGGAGGAGGAGGAGGAGGAGGAGGAGGAGGAGACTCTGGAGACTCTGCCTGATCGCGTAGCGATATGTGAATGAAAATCCGCCAGCACCTACCGAGGGTGCTTGTGCCCACTCCTCTGGTTCTTCTCAGCTCTGCTGAGAACCTTAGGCCAGAGACCCGAATTGATACGGCGTAAGTATTCCAACCCTGTTGCTGTAGGGGGTTCGCACTCTAAGGCAAGTTTCCCCGTCTTATGGGAGACGAACATACCACATTGAGAACAGAACCAAACTCCCAGCCCAGCGTGGAACCTCGGACGATGGGTTAAATGAATCCACCCCCCTGCTACATGTACCTGCTTTCCCAGGGGGGTCTCATATAAGTGCCATCTATATTGAGGAGGTTAAAACACTCTGATCTATAGAAATCTACTTTAGTGGCTATTGTGGCGGAACCTTTACAAATCGTGCATTTGCGCCCTGTCTCATCCAGCTTATGGGCGGAGGCGAAAGCTGCACACAATGCTGGGGCAGGGGGTCTGACAGGCTGTACTCTGACTCTACGTGACTGTCGACTGCCTGCTGGGCAAATCGGGGCAGCTAGTTTCTGGGCTCGCTCAAATTCCAGGGCCTCTAGGGTGCTTCTCAGGAGGCGCATGCGAACGAGGTACGCTTTATTCTCTACTAACTGGATCTGCTGTCGGATCTGCTTAGGCACGCGATGCTGCTCGGCGGCAATGCTGGCAAACTCGTCCACAACTGCATTGCCATAGGTGAGAGACCGATTCGCATGTCCACGTTGGATGTCATCAGCTGTCTGATGTGAGCGCACGAGTAGAACCACAAAGTCTCCTGTCCGTCGCTGAAGCTCTTGCCCAACTTGGTGCCAGAGATCCGCATCGGGCCCTTCAGGATGGGTAGGGTGGCCATTGTGGAAATTCAAATATACTCCTTCACAGTCGGTGATGAAAATCACGTCATAAAAAGTCACCTGCAGGGCTAAGAGGAGGGCAGAAAGTTCGCCTCTTACCACTGTTTGGCGGGTGCCCGCCAAAGGTCCCCAAAGCGCCATCTGCAGTTCCATGCCGTTGGCGTCCAAGTCGGTGAAAGCTGTGATGGCCACACCTACTCGTCGTAGGACTGGTGAAGCCGTGTCGGCTCCTCCACTGGCGTCGCCAAAGATGTAGAGGGGGGACGGGCCTCGCCGTCCGACCTCAAAACAATCTGGCGCGCAGGTGTCGATGCCAAACGTGCTCCAGTCGGCTGCTGCCGCAGGTGGCGGCACGGCCGTCCAGGCCCGAGGTATCAGCCCTCGTGTCCAAAAACATTCAAACATATCTTGCTGCGCCGTCGCCTCACCTACGAGGTGCTCGGTGGCGTCGTAGGCTGGGCTGCTCTTGTGCTGGTCGCACTCCCATGTGCGGTGGAAGGCGGTCTCCTGCTTGAGCTTGCAGCGCGGGCACTTGCCGTCGGTGACGGCGTTGGTCTGCTCACGTACTCGCTCCTTGGGCCAAGTAGCCCCGACGGCGATCGTGAGCATCAGTGCAGATAGCCTGTTGCCTTGCTTCATCTTGGAGAGGTAATCCAGTAGCTTGCGGTAGGACCGGTTGTCGATCCCGTGCTCCATGCCCGATCCTCCATAGTGCGCACTGGCCTGGAGCCAGTACTTGGCTTGGATGCTGCGGTCGGAGGAGGAGGAGGAGGAGGAGGAGGAGGAGGAGGAGGAGGAGGAGGAGGAGGAGGAGGAGGAGGAGGAGGAGGAGGAGGGAGGAGGAGGAGGAGGAGGAGGAGGAGGAGGAACAGGAGGAGGACGGGTGGGATGAAATGGGAGGGATACTAGTCGTGGCCTGTCGGGTAACGTTCGCCCTTTCTGGGCTTCGGAAGGCCCCCCCGTCGCGCTGCGCTCGCCCCGAAGACCGCGACGACGACGTTGACGTCGACGACGACGAAGATGCTGGCGGCTATAGCGGCGGCGGCCGCGACGACGACGACGGCGACGACGACGACGACGACGACTGTTCATCAGCGTGGGTGGCTGTGATGTTCGGGGAGGTGGCTGCATGCCAACGCACAGTTCGGCGTCCGAGGTAGTTTACACCACAAGCATCTGGAGCCCGCTGCCAAGGTATGTACACTTGTCTTACTGCACGCGGCGTGCTGGCACGGTGCTCACTCTAGCAAGGTTGGAGGGCTGGGCGTGCCCCGCGGCGACGGGCTGTTTCCAAACGGTAACTGGGCGGCCTCGGAGTCGGCACCCTCGCCAAAGAAAGCGATCGTTTCGCGCCCCCCGCTGGCTAGCTCGCGCTGCTCATCGCTGGCTAGCTCGGGCTCGAGAGGCGAGGGGGGCTCGGCGGAAGGAGTGAGGATCGTGCTCTCTAAACTGTCCCCTGGAACGAACCAATTTGCGGCTTAGCGTGTCGAGCCAGACACTCAGCTCCTCCTCCAGCCACCCAGGCGGGGCGATCCCCAGGCGGTGTTTCATCGCGCCCTCTGCCCTCATGGCGATGAGCAGGTCGCCGCGGAGGTCCCAGCGCGGCGCGACCAACAAACCGATGCTAACTTTTCGTCGCTGCACTTCCCGATCTTGATCATCGTGACCTGCTCCTCGAGCCTTGTCTTGGCGACGGTCGGGGCCGCGTCGAAGGGCGGCTAGCGCTTGTCGAGGTAGTCGTGCAGTATCTTTTCGCCGCCGCCGACGGCTGGCTTGATCGCGGTTTCGATCATCGTCGGCGCCGAGCTGGCTGCAGAGCCACCCGTTGTCTTCAGCTCCTTTCTCTGTTCAGCATCTCCGTGTCGCAGTCACTCGAGATGGCCTCGCGGTTCTCGAGCTACGATCAACGGGCGGTCGCGCTGCGTCGTGAACGCGTCGAGGGTGGCCGCGCTCAGGATCGGCGTCAACTTGAGGATCACGACCAGCAGCTCGTTGATGTTCTTGTCGCGGCTGGTCGAGTTTTTTTTCGGTGCGTTGGCCGCGCTGTCGGCGGCCTCCTCGGCGCATCGTGCGACGCCGTTTTCTTTGTTTGTCTCTCTTCGCTTTGTCGGAGATGTTCATGCCCGACGCGCCTCTCTCGTCCTTGGGGGCTGGCGCGCCCGTCTGCCCCCTGCGCTTGGTGGGTGCCTTTCTGCGGTGCCGGGCCAGCGCGCGCAGACGCCTGGGGGGGCCGCGGGGGGGGGGGGCTCCAATGTATCTCGCCGTGGCTGGCTGCGCTGCGGCTGCGGCCGTCATCTGCGCGCCAGTCAGGTCGAAGTTGGACTGGTGGTGCTGGTGTAAAAATAGCTGGCGCAGTCGGACCTGGGCGAGGTTGCGTTTGCGCTCGCTGGCGGCGTCGCTGTCGGGCGCGGCCTGGCTCGAAGTTGGTTGCCTCGAAGACGGATGCGGCGCAGGGGGCGGCGTGCCACGCGCAGCTCGAAGAGAATCTCTCAGGTCGGCGTCGCCACCTTGCACCCGCGCTGCTTTGCGCTTTCTTCTCCGGGAAATGCTTCGATGTGCGCGCTGGCACCTGCGGTCTGACTGAAGTTGCCTGCGCGCATGCAGGCTTGCGCCTGGCGCCCGACTGAGCTGGCGGAATATGATTGGCGCGATGTCGTCGCAATCCTCGGGGATCGTGATGCATGATGCGACGTCCGGGTTTGTCGCTGGTAGGTGCAATCGGACATCGGGTTTCCAATCGTGCAGGTGATGCCTTTGTTCGGGCATACATCGGGCCGCATTCCATGGTCTTTGCATATTGAGGTGACAATGGCCGGCGCATGAAAGCATTGATGGGCAACCGAGGCGCATGTTGTCGATGGCGATGGCGGAGATGCCAGCAACTCTGCCGCGGCCGTGAGCTGAGGAGTGCGTCTGATGAGTAGTGGGAAAGGGGGCGATTGAGCAAGTTGCGCTGCAGAAATCAATCGTGCATCTGAACGGGGCCAGCACTGCGAGCTCGCTGTCCGCGCCGCCAATCTCCTGATCTACGGCTGGAGCGCCCTTTGCCATTGACCCTCTCGGAGCCCGCTAGCCGCTCGTGCGCGATGCAAGCATCGCGCGTCGCAGGCTTGGTCGGCCGCGCGAGCGTGTTCGCCCCGAAATAAAGCATGACGCGTGAAGGGTTCCACTCTCCCGTGAAAGTGGCGCCCGCGGGTGCTCGAATAGCTGGCTCAGGCTGGCGAGCTGCGCAGCCCGCGGGTGAGCTCCAGCATCAGCTTGTATGCGGCCTTGTGTAAAGGAGGTGTAGACGCTTGTCGTCTGCCGGTTATGGCGTCGACCTCGAGCTGGCGCTCCTCGAACAAAAAACCCAGTAACTGCGCGCAGTGGTCGGGATCGGCGAAGAGAGCCTTCCTCCAAGTCAGCCGCTAATGCGATTTGCAATTCTCAAAATACCTCATCAGTCTCCGAGCGCCGACGTTGTCCGTCTTCGGTTCCATGGCCTTTTGCCAGCAACATGGCGCGCGTCTTTTCAGCGAGGCACGCGACGAGCTTCTCGTGTTCCGTCGGCGTGGGGATGTAGATCTCGAGGGCGGACCGGGCGCTGCTCGCGACGCTGGCGATGAAGGCGCCACGCTTGTACTTCCGCGGCCCCAGGCCCGTGGCGACGGACCTGATGCGCCCCTTGATCTCGGCGTCGTTGGAGCTGGTGGGAGTGAGCAAACTTAGGAGGTAAATCAAGCTGGCGGCGGTGGTGCCTGCGATGCGCTTCTCGATGTCGCGAATGGCTCTGGCGATGGTGGTGTAGAACAAGTGTTCTGCCCCTTGACGGCTTGGCGGTGACCTGTCATGTGGGTGTGCATGTTGGGCGTGGCCATGTCCAG